TTTGAATGTCTAATCATTTTACTGGAATATGTGTAAAGCTGACCATTTGTCTCATTTAGGGCCCTTTGAATATACAGTTTATTTTCAGGAAATTTTTCTCTGTACTATAAAGTGTTAATCCAATTTTATTACTTTGTCTTTCTTATTTCAAATTACACATAAGTTGGATCTTCTTTGTCTATATATCACTTTTGATCTTTTTTTATTTTATTTTATTTATTTATGTATTTTTTGAAACAGGGTCTTGGTGTGTAGTGTAGGTTGGCTTTGAACTAACTATGTAGCCCAGTCTGGCCTTGAACTCACAAAGATCCTCCCTGGAATTACAGGCATGCACCACCAAGCCTAGCCTGATCTTTTTTAAACACTTCATTTTTATTCTTTTGATTCTTTTCATTCCCACCTGCTGTATCTTTTAGTTTATTTTTGCTTCTGTCATTGGGCATCTTATATTTAATTGTCCACTTCAAAAATGATTTTTTTCCCAGTTTCTTTTTTTTTCTTGTTGCATAACTGCCTATTGTTTTTTTCTTCACTAGTATGACATTTTAGATTTCAGATTTCTGATATCATATTTGCATCCCTGGTTTGATACTTAATAAGTTAACTATACTTAATCAATTTTAGAGCATTGTATTAGTTTTTGTAACTTCATATTTCTTCAAGGCAGAGTTGGTAGAGAGTTTTTATCACTTGATGAGGTTCAATCTTCTACTTTTATTTATAATGGCTTTCTATGGATATTGGGGTCTTTTTTTTTAAGATTCCTAGTAAAGTACGTGGAATTTTCCTGGGTCCTGTCTAGTGGTGAGGGTTGGACATTGTTAGAAGGGATTACTTGGTTTCTTAGTTCAGTAATGTTTACTATTTTTAGAACCGTGAAGATGTTACCTTTTGAAATGTTGGTTGGTTGATTTTTTGATACTTTGGCACTATTTTCTTTCTTGGAGTTTTTAACTTCAACTACTTTCTTCCCTTCTTTTCCCATGATGAGCCTCCAAAGGACACTTATCTCTATACATCATTTTCAGAAGACTTAACTCTTGAACTAGAATACTTTTGGGGTTCTTCCTTTCAGCTCCCCAGGAACTAGTGCCCTAATAACTGCCTGGTTTTAATGGCCAGCTCCTTTTCTGGAAGTGGAGTGGAATATCAACCCGTGGATACCTCTTACTTGAGTATGGCCTCCTAGAGCTATCTTTGATGGTTTCAGATGTTAGTTTTCCCATTCATATGTAAGGTGATGTTTGCAGTAGTTTCTATTTCCTAGTTATGCTGTTGGTGAAAGCTATAGGTGATTTTGTTTACCTTGTTGATCTAAAGCCTTTGCAGTATGTGTAAAGAGAATCTTGTTTGGATGGCTACCACTATTTTACTGCAACTGACAAATCATACTCTGATCACTTTAGCAAATAGTTTAGTACCTCTTCTACATAAACACCAAGCTAAATACTGGGCCTCAAAATATAAATACAGTACTCAAAATAATCCTTGCATTTATATAACTTGAATGACAAAATACATTTAAAACATTGATTCTTTGAGTAACTTTATGAGATAAGTACTTCCCTCATTTTACAGAGAAGGCTGTTAAGGCTACAAGGTTAACAGCAACTCACTTACATAACTAGTTAATGATGAGTAAAATTCAATCCTAAGATTTAAGAGTCCAAATCTACTGTGTGCTCCATCAAAATGATCATATTGTTATTTCATTTCTTTGAACAGTCTTTGAACGTTAAGTACCTTAGAATGTACCAAGTTGTGTAATAGGCACTTGTCATTACAGCAATGAACAAACTAGACCAACAAAACAAAAACCCTGCACTCACAGAACTTATATTTTAAGCAATATTATGTATCCATCCCTCTACCCCTTCCCAACCTAATCCATCTCTTCTTGACTTAAATTCTGAGATTTATTTGGCTTTAAAAAATAATACTAACTAGAGTAATTTATAGGGTTTAATTATGTGTATCATTCAACATAATTGTGACTTTTAATAGTGCCAAAATAACTCCAAGTTTTATGTGATTACTATATACCCATTTCCTAGTTTATTGCTTATATACTATAAATTTAAAAAAGAAAAAGTATATTGGAAGTGAAAAAATGTGTAGTTTTCATAGTTCTGTTATGAAACATATATTTTAAAACATTACTAATTTTTTTAAAAGCTTTATATAGTTCGATGTCTGTTAAAAGGGGCTTTTTAATCACATTTGAAGTAGAATTTAAGATATTTATAAAGCTATTTTATACCATATAGTTTTAGGATGGCTTAAAATTCCACACTAAGCATTTCTGAGTAGTTTAGTTTTCACCTATTTGCATAAAAGGTGAAGGATTTTTTTTTTATCTGCTTTCTACAGAGTACTATTTCAGATTCTTTTAGTATTTCATTAAGAAGTGTAAAATACTTTCATCATTGTGCTCTTTGTTAATTTTGGCAAAAAATGCCATTTTAAATTCCCATATACAACAACATCAAATAAGGTAATCTGTATTTACTCAATTGATTTTAATACAGAATTTTGAGCAAAAAAGTAGCTGACCTGCACCCTCTGTTGGTCATTTTATTTACCTGCTGACAGAAATGCAGTATAATAAAATGCAAAACTTGTCTTTTATATGTTTATCTTTTAATTGGCATTTGCAGGTCTTGCCAAAATAATGCTCTGAAGCAGGTTCATGTAAATAAGGTGGATTATTATTTAGCTGTGCATTGTTTCAGTAATTTTATGGTTATTTCCTTTTTCTTCAGGCTGGCTCTAATTGTAGCATTCAGAATTGGCATTAACAGTGTAGATTTTCAAATAAGTATTTATTTAACTGTAGCAAACTATTAGCTGCAGTAGCACATTATTAAACAGATAAAGTTTAACAATTTCATTGTCAATTTGGATTAATTAGAAAAACATCACATTTTACTACCCTAAATAACAATTTGGAGTTATTTGAATTTGAGAATAATTCAAGCTTCAGAAACTGAAGCTGAGTTTTTCTCTCACTTTTCTTCAGATAGAATTATTCTTTAAGATTGTATGCTTAACTGGATTTATATAATAGTTTGATAATATTTATATGTAGTAAATTTCCTGTCTCGTAGAAATGTCTATACAAATTTATAATTGCAGTTAAGAAAGCTATATTTGGCCAGGTAGATGAATAGTATGGAGGGGGAAAATCTTTGCTTTTGAGGGATTGATAAATACCAAGTTTGTCTTTGGTAGTTTTCAGAATTTCACTTACCAGCCAAAGCCTCAAATTTACTAATGCATAATTTACTCAATTTTAGCACAGTCTAATACCTATTCCATAAATTATCTATCATCTTAGAGCTTCCTTGCATTTTTTTCATTGACATAAATATTTTAAAAGCTTGTATTATGGATTCTCATAAGATAATTTTTAAGATATTACTTGCAAATGCCAACTAACAGTATTTGTATAAATTTTCTTGTACCAGTTTGAATTAATTAAAATTTATGTTTGGTTTCTAGTGGTCTTTTCACTGTATTATTTAACCAAAATTTGCATTAGACTATTCAAATGAACTTTCTACTTTGTGATGAAGCAATGAGAAAGATGTTCTCCAGTATAGCAAATTAAGCTTTAATGTTGAACTTGACTCTTAAATTTGTAATTCGATGAAACATTATTTTAAAATATCAGTGAGTACTTACATTTTTCAGTGAGTGAATTCCATAAGTACCACGTGTAAACATAAAGTAATTAGGTAGCATTCTAAAACTATACGACTTTAAATCTATAGTATTTTAGTCGTACCTGATGTGTGATTCTATAAATACCATGTAAATGTCCCACATAAACTTATCTACTTGATATGTCAGTAAATTGTTTTAGCTCATGTGGAATATACTTCACCTATAGTACCTATGTCTTTAATCTAGTAAAAAAGTAAGATGATATATTTTATTTTCAAATTTAAATACGGGCATGAAAATACATAGTTTTTAATTTGCTTACTGAAAGCAATGAGTTAGTGTCATCTTATTCAGAAAATTAGTTAACTTCACACTTCAAACTTCCACTCAATCTTTCTCCAGAAACTTGTAGAATCAAATAGTATTCAAATGGAAAATTTCCATCTTATCACATATTTGAAGTACCTAATTAAGTTAACCGGAAGTTAATTAGCTAACCAAATTGAATAGGGACAAAGAAACACAAAGATACTCATGGAAATATTGCCTTACAAATGGAATGCTAATCTCTAAGTGCAAGTTATAGGAAATGGGATATTGGGGAAATATTTAAGGAAGGGAAATTATTTTGATGTAGTAGGAAATAGTGACTTTGAAAACTTTGGGGGGGGGGTGATGATAGATTGTAACATTTTGCGAAAGGGTCTTTTGTCTCCAGACTTAACTTTGAAACTTTTTCTATTGTCATGATATTTTTCCTTTCCACATTTATGTTCTCTCTACAGACCTACTCACTTTCTTTCCCACTTCAGTTAATTTATTCTTTGCCTTAGTAAATACTTAGTTCTTTAGATTTTGGGAAAAATGAAATATGATATTAACTGCCTATAAGCATAGTATCAATTTTTATTTTTTTCAGATTCTGTAAGGATAAGTAAGATATTCTTGAACAGCACATTGCATGTTGGGAAGTATACTAACTTTGAGGGCTCTGTATCTAGTAAGCTAGAAATCTAACTTGTGAAGTAGTGATTCAAGTTATTACACTTCCAAGTAGCTGGACAAATACTGTACATCTTGCTTATAAATGCAACAAAAGATTTTCATTGTAAAGAAGCCAGCAGGGAATACAAAATTTATAAGAAAAAAATCAAGAGAATAGCTCTATATATTTCTTTTAAATCTAGCTAGCTGTTGACATCTTAAAAATTTGAGTTAAATATTTACATTAACTGGAAGTCACTCATAGGTATATATTTGTTTTAATTTGTAGGCATTTGTGAAAGACTTAACAGATCTTTTCTAAGAAGGAATTATGTTTCTTTTGACAGTGATATGAATTTTGAAAATAAAGAACGAACAGCATGTAAAGGAAAGATTGCCATATCAGGTATGTTGTATGTGGATTATTTTATATTGCTGAATAAATTCTGTAAAGTAACTAGAGTTGATAAGGTTTGTTTTATTCTCTACTTCTAGCCTTTTCCATAACTCTTCATATCAAAATATTTGAAAGCTCTGTTTTGATCATTAATGCTCTACATTTGTGTAGAACTTTGCAGTTTAAAAAAATGGTTACATATGTTAGGTGATTTTCTCTTCAATGCAACCTGGTAAAATGGATAGGATAAATATTCTCAGTTTCTACAGATTTAAAGGTTAAGTGACTTGCTGGAAGTGGCTGAGCTGGGCTGCAAATCCAAGTCAGTTGACTCTCCATTCTTTTTCTGTTCCCCAGGTGTTGGAACCTGTCTGTCTTGTTCTTCACCTTATAGCCAGAAGCTAGCATAGCACTTGGCACATAGAAGACTGCTCATTGTTACCTGTAGGAAAAAGATCACACTTTTTTCCTAGTTTTCCTTTTTGACCTAATTCTTTTTCTAGCCATTTTCTTCCATTATGCCTATATATATCTTGTCTATTTAGGCAGACATTTCTTTCCTTCTGTCAACATACCCTAGACTTCAGATGCCTAATTGGCTTCTGAAATAAATATTTTTTTCAGATGTTTGCTCATCTATAAAACATCCCCTGTTATCATTCAATTTAGAAATGATACTTCCTTTCTCTGAATTACTAATGCATTTGGAGACCCTCTACCACTAGATGGCACTTATGCTGTGTAGTCTCAGTTTCTCCAAAGTGTTAAGGAAGCCAGAAACAATGACCTGGAGATCCCACAGTTGAAGTGAACTCGAGGGTATGCTATCACAGTCATGCACTTTTACAAATATCATCTCTTCAGTACATTTTGGAAACAACTGTTTGTACCTCCATCAGTCCTTACATAATAACTCCTTTTTCCCCTGGCCAAAACCCATGTCTTAGGGAGCCCACTGCTGCAGTTTGGGCCCTGTCACTCAAGGAACTGTTTTCCATTTCCAGCTTCCCAACTCACTTCATAGCTAACAAAAATTATACAGGAAGATAGACCTGCATTTTATTTAGCAGATTATTGGCTAACATCAGAAATTGCCTTCAGCTAAGCAAAAAATTCTTCAGAAAAATAAGTGAACTATGTAGATATCTGTTGCTTGTTTTATAGTTACTATATTCATGTCTTCATCTTTCCATTTATAAGACTGACATAAACATGTTTTATGTCTCCTTGTATCCTTTACCCAACATGGTAGTTCTTCATTATGCTTAATACCTATTAACATTAATAAATAAAATATTATACATCTTTAAAAGGGATTTTCTACAAATACCTAAACATAATCCTTTTCTTCAAATGTGGCACCTCTGGGGATACATGAGATATATTGCTATTGAAGACTCCAGTTCTCTAATAGTTTCAACATCTGTTGTGATTTCATAGTAGTTTATTGACTGCTGCAATTCATGCTATTAGAATTAACTGTACATTTAGAAGAGACTTACAAAAAAGCATTTAAAGTAAAAGAAAAATATTTTTTATGAACACAAATACCCAATATATAAAAACTAAACTTATTTCTGCATATGTTTCTTCTTTCCAGAAGATAATTTTAAATTAAACTAAGGAACTGAAACTCTCAGAAGATGGGGTACATATGTAATTTCCTTTCATCTTTGCCTGGACTTAATTACATCTTATCTGTGTATTTATAAAAGCAAAAATAAAAAATTCACCTTTATAAATGCATTTTCATTTGACACTAGGATGAATATGTGACTTATTTTGGCCAAAAGGAATGTTTACAGCAAAATTTCCTAATGTTTCTGGGATTACATCAATAGCCTGGAGAGATCTGACATTTGCATTTCTGGGTTTCCTTACGTGGCCAGATCTTTTTACAAAGAATAACAGGTTTATCCTTATTCTTTTTGCCAAATAACAAATAATAACATTGTGATAATTTTCTCGGGTTTTCACTGACAACTAATTCAGTATCTAAAACAAATCACTTCATCACATACCTCATTCAATTTTCCCTTTTTTTCTTTTTCTTTTTTTGCACTACTGGGGATGAACCCAGTGCCTTGCACATGCTAGGCAAGCCCTCTACTACTGAGTTACCTTTACAGCCTTCAGTTTTCACCTTTAAAAATGATAGATTTCTAAGACCTAATAAAATCAATTTAACCATCTTATTATGGCTCCCTCAGTTTACCATTACATGTCAGTAGAAACATAAGAAAAGACAGAGGTAAGAGTACTGTAAACTAAAACTGAGTCAGCCATCTACAAGTCTGGAAAGAATTTCTATCATTTAAAGCTGAATTAAAAAACACATTTGATAAGTCTTGACTTAACTTTGCTGTCTGAACAGTACCTGATCACTTGGGGAATACAGAAGAAACATCCACCATCTCCTTTTGGGGAGCCGACATAGGTAGTCATGGGAAAGGGCAAGACTGACCGTGGCTATGGGTACATAGGAGAGGAAGTCAGGGTCTATGTTTCTCCCATGACAGTAAAATTGTTAATGCCACCCCCGTGAGCCAGAACAGCTATGAACAGGACAGTTGTGAAATGAAATGAGTCAGCAACTGTGGTCAGGCAAGAAGGGGCTTTTTGACAGGACATCAGCCAAGTCCTATTTATAAAACAATACAGGCATTTCCATTAAAACCAAGAATTAAAATAAAACTGTATTATATCACTATAATATAACTCTTTTAGAAATTCTAGCTAAAATAATAAGAGTAAAGGATGAAATGAATGAAAAGGAATAGAAAAATGAATACTCTTTGAAGATAATGGATTACAGACCTGTGAAACCTAAGGGAGTTTACTGAAACACTATTTGAATTAATAAAGAATTCAGTAAAAAGTGGCATAGTTTAAGATAAACCTATAAACAGCAATAATCTTTTAACTAGCAAATAACTAACTAGAAAATACAATAGCACAAAAGGTCTACTTTGAAAAATATTAAAGACCTAAGAATAACTTTAATTGTAATGTGAGGGTAAATAGATTGTGCTATTCTATGTAAAGACAGAGTGTTATAGTTATTAGCTTTTAAATTTGGATAACTGAACCCAGTACTAATAAAGTGTGGGAGGGGAGATTTTGACAAAACAGTTCCACAATTCTTATAAAGAAATTAGAATAAGATGCTTTCAGAAAAGAGTATTTCCACACTTGATCTTAGCCAAAAGGCCGAGAAGTGATAGCAAAAGGTATTTCTAATAGTAAAGTATATTGTAAAGGTACAATAGTTCTAATGGAATGGTGTTAGTATTAGGTTATATATGGTAGTAATAAATGATTTAATTAGATCCATAAATGTATACCCAGGATGCAGACATTTACTGAGAATGTCATGTCTAATAATGCGGCACTATAAATCAGTGAGAAAGAGAAAGGTGTGTGTACATGGAGCACAACAGTTATTTAATAAGAAAGGAATAATATATTTTTGCCTTATCTCAAAATTTCATATATATTAAATAACTTTTTTTTGTGTTGTGTTGTACTGGGAATTGAACCCAGGGCTTTCTGAGTGATATACATCACCAGCCCTTTTCTAATTTTGAAACAGGGTTTCACTAAATTGCTAAGTTGCCCAGGCTGGGCTGGAACTTGCAGTCCTTCTGCCTCATCCTCCCAGAGTTCTGGGATTATAAATGTGTGCTACCATGCCCAATTTATATTAAATAACTTAAAATTATAAACCATAAATATAAAATATTCTGTTTTACATTTTATTTTGGCTTTGATGGTGAGAATCTATTATGGGATTCAGAGTTCACGTCACTGTAAAACTTACCAAAATTATTACTTGTCATTTTTTTTACCCCTTTATAGATATTCGAATACCGCTAATGTGGAAAGACTCTGATCACTTCAGCAATAAAGAACGTATGTATGGTTTTAATTTTTAATTGAAATGTTTTCTTTGGTTTATAATAAATTTGTGATTATTGAGGTAAAGACTTCTTCCACACTGAAATAAATTGTCATTTGACAGAATATGCAGAATCTTGTTGAGCTATTGTTTTCTGATTTTTAGTATAAATATGTTACAATCCTTTGATACTAATTAAGACAGTCCTTATCATTGTACTTGTAAGTTGATAGAATTGATGCAGAGACAGTAAGTAGTGGCCTCAGGGTGGGGAGATGAGAGAAAAATAGGAAACAAATGAAAATGTTTAAGGAATAAAGGTAAAGGTAACATTTCTTCTGTTTGACCAGAATTTTGAGATCTCTTATGCTCTATTTTGTTACTTCAGATTATTTAATAGGATGTAATAAGGATTTTAAGCTTGATTCAGTTTTTTTTCCTTCAACATTTTCTTTTATGGCTTTATGTACTCTTCACAAATCTATGTATTGCTTAAGTCATGGAAATTAATCTCACATGATTTCTAGCTGTTAGAGGCAAAAGATATGGTAATCATTTATCTCTCTTCTCTATTGTGACAGTTTTGTTCTTCATACATAAAAAACTGAAACATATTGAGCATAATTAGTTTTATATGAAGAATTTAAAATCAAGTTAGTGTTTGTTATTCAATTAGGAAATATAATTTACAAAGGAGTGCATGTGGGAATTAAATAAATCTTTCTGATTTCTATAGAGAATAAGTTTTTCTAAAGAGCTACATTTTCTCAGTAATGAAGATTTAGTCTTTTTATTACTTAATACTTTTTAAAACATCACAAAATTAAAAGATTCAGCAGTTGTTTTTTTTCCATGTCTGCTTTCATTCATGCATTTATTTTTTCCATCTATCTATCTATATATCTATCCTTGTGGTTTCCTCCTTTGCTTTCAGTTTGGTAGAAAATCTTTTGCTATTATTAATGTGACTACTCTTAACTCTTCTAATAACATATTCTTCTTCAATAGAATTAGATACCAAAATGACAGAAATAATAGTATATGTAAATAATAATAAATTTACTGTTAGTTGAGGTCTAAACAGTTTTCTAATAATAAAATTTATGACTTTAGTAGTTTCTGTAAACTGAGAGTCTTATATTTCTAACTTTATTTTTTGATACTCCAGGTTTAAGGTTGTGTTCTAGTTGAACAAGGTATTACTATATCCTGACAAAAATAGCACATGCCTATAATCTCAGCACTGGGGAGGCTGAGTCAGGAGAAATGCTGCAAGTGTGGGGCCAGCCTGAGCTTCATAGTGAGTTCAAAACTGACCTGAATTACATAATGAGACCCTGTCTTAAAAGATAAAAGCAAACAAACAAAAAATAACAGACACTATAAAATGTTAAAAGTTACAGTATATAAAAATAAGAATTTGTTAACAACTATTTAAGCTAATATTTTTCATTTTCAAGGTTATTTTAAGAAAATTGGATTTATCATATGTATTATTGCTTAAAGTGTTGCCTTTTTTCTCTAGGATCAGAGCGCTATGCCATTTTTTGTTTATTCAGAATGGGAGCTGAAGTTTTCGATACTGACATGCTGATTGTGGATAAAACAATTACAGATATATGTTTTGAAAATGTAACAATATTGTAAGTATCTTTAATCTTAAAACAATGAAAATAAAGTTCTACTTAAAAAAAGAAAGTCTAATTATTGGGCCTTTGGATTCTTACAGCCTAATTAGTTGGTCCTTGGATTCTTTTTGAAGTATTAAGATCTTTAAATGTTCAAAACGATTTTGAAAAGTACTTTGTTCAAAAGAAGCCTTTTTCTCTTTTTTTTTTTTTTTTTGGTACCAGGGATTGAACTCAGGTCCTTGCACTTGTGCAGCAGGAGGCGAAACCACTGAGCTAAATACCCAGCCCAGAAGCCTTTTTCTCTGTTTGTAGTTTTCTGGTGTAAAATAAAAATGGAAATTTTATAATTAGCAGCAAGTATTTGATTCATTGGATATAAATAATTTTTAAAACTTTATAAATATTTATATTTTCATTATTAAAGTATGAATACAGTAGTTTTAATTTATTTTATAAATTTGGTTAGAAAATAGGTCTTCTAGCTGGGCATGGTAACGCATGCCTGTAATCCTGGCACTTGGGAGGCTGAGGTAGGAGTATCGCTGGGAGTTCAAGGACAGCCTGAACTACATAATGAGACCCTGTCTCAGAAAAACCAAAGAAAATAGATCTTAAAGAGATTTAATTACAGAACTTCTAAAATAGTAAAATACCTTTGTTTATATGATAGTGCTGCAGTATGTGTCATAGGAAAAACACTTTGGTAAAACTTGGAGGGTGCTCTTTTTCTTATGGTGCATTAAGAAATGTGTACTCCAAAACAGTAAAAAAAAATCAGTGATTGTCAGGGTTGTTTTTATTGCCCCTGTTCTTTTACAGGCTCATTTTATGTGGTCATAATACAGAACCAGAACTCCTCAGGTAGCCATAGAAATAATTTTTAACTAACGTAAGTTTTTCCTGGCTTCTTTCAGAGATTCTATTGGCCTAAATCATTGTGGGGTTTGTTTTTCTTTCAGGCTTTCAAAGATACTGTGTTCATATCTAAATGTTCATAGCTACTGAGCTGTTAAGATAAAACCAATATTACATGTGTTTTTCCATTTTCAGTTATGGAGCTGCATTTGAGATTTCAGAGGACTAGTTTTGCCATTCATATGACATTAAAGAAACTACGGCAAACCATATTTTGTGGTTTCTGGTCCAGTGTCCCATAGTAATTGAACAGTGCAGAAAAACAAAATGTATTGTTTGGGGTCATTCTCAGTAATACAGACATTCTTACAAGCTGTATTGAACTAGAGAAATTTGTTTAGTGTCCAAAAAAACAAAAAACTGTTCTCAAATGGTTATATAATTGAGGCTAAAATTTTTTTCCTAAATTATCTAAATACATTTATTTTCACTATCAGCTATTACCAATGAATTTTTTTTCTGCAAAAATTACCCTATCAATGGGCTTTTTTTTCCATATCACTTTGCCATTGTTTGTTTTTTGTGTGTGTGTCAGAGAAAGAACAATACAAAGTACTTGGGAAGAAAGTACATGATTTATCATTTTTTAAAATTTTGTAAATATTTTAAATTGTTCTAAAAATAACTGCTGACAAATGCTCTAAATGTTTAAAAATGTGGTTTTTGTTATGATCATTGTTTTTAATAAGTCCTCAGTATTTATGAATCTGTGGTTTCCCTCTAAATATTGACATTTGTTTGTCATTACCAGGAATACTGTATGGTTAGAAGCTGCCAAATAAGTTATAAACTATAAAAATATCTGGAAGTTATTCCTTGGATTTACCAAACCTACAGATTGGCTGTTTAAATCCTAAAAAGTCTATGTTGCATTTTTAATATCTCTGAGGCTGACAGATGTTCTGTCTGTAGCCAACAGGTACTGCTGATGGACCCCTTTTGCAGTCTTCCATGTATTTTGTTGTTGGTAACACTGCCACAATCTTTTATGCAAGTTTACCATTACTGAAAAGGGGTAAAGCCAATCTCAGTATTTCCTACAGTTGCAACATTTCTTCATATTGGTTTAATAAATAGGCATCAAGTATCTTTTAGTTTCAGGCACAATGCTAGGCTAAAAGTACAAAAATTGCCATGATAGCGTGTGCCCTCCATGGAGTTCATGGTTTGAACGATATATTGGTTTCATAGGTTTTTTCCCTACATAATCAAATAGTAAAAATGTTGTTTACAGTTACTAGGTACAAAAGTGATATGAAGGGGGCACACAGTGGTGAATTGACTGTAGTAACTCTAAGAAGAAGAAATAAATACTGAAGGTTCAGATTTTGTTTTGGGGTAGTCATGTTAGGAAATTACACATGTAATGTAAAGACCTTCAAAATAGTCTTAAAGGACTGCTAAAGGAAAAATGGCACTGGCAAAAAAAAATGATCAAAGTGTTTTATTCTATTTCTTTAAGTCAGATGCCTGCATACATTGGTTTAGTTAAGGTTGCCTTTGTTTAGAAGCTGATAGCCCTGAAAGTTGTAGTGACTTTCTTATGCCATTTAGATACTAAATAAATACAGTTTCTATATCATATTTTAAATGTCAATTTTGAATGTTATAAAAGCATCAAAGGATTTTGTAATTTTATTTTCTATTGAGTTAAATCTTTAACCTTACAAATACCCTTGTTTTTAGTAATGAAGCGGGGCCAGACTTTAAAATAAAGGTGGAAGTGTATAGTTGTTGTACAGAAGAATCTTCCATAGCCAACACATCAAAAAAGCTAGCTAAGAAACTGAAGATATCTATAAGTAAAGCTACAGGAAAGAAAATAAACTCAGTGCTTCAAGATGAGAATCCTGAAACATGCTTATTCTTCAGTTCTATTGTTTCGTAAGTTTTCTAATATAATATTTATGATAACACAATTATACTTTTATTTTTTAGTATTTTTCTGTTCCCTGTATTTTCTTCTTCTTCTTTTTTTTTTTTTTTGGTACTGGGGATCAGTGGCAGAACCACTGAGCTAAATTCCCGGCCCTGGTCCCTGTGTTTTCTATTAAATCCAAAGGATGATTAGATTGAAACTGTTCTAAGGCAGCAATACTCATTATTAGATGTATTTTTTATTATCTCCCATTAGGAGACCTTGTCCTACTTTTAGGTTCAGGTGTTGCCATCCTGATCCATCCATAATGAAGTTCCCTATCAATCTTTTATTTAATGCTTTCAGCAGCTGTTGCTGCTCATTTTTTTTTATTTCATTAGAGATTATAATTTGATGGCTTCCTAAATCTGTGCTGCATTTTCATCCTAAACCAGCATTCATGTGAAGAACCTTTTTTCTTCATAAACTCACTGGATACAACTATAATGCAATTGGTGGAAGCAATAGAGGAAAAACAATACTTGAATCTTTTTATCTAGTACTGGGAGTTGAATGTAGGGTCTTTGTACCAAGATGCAAAGATACACTCCCCGCCTTTTAAAAACAAGGTCTCATGGAGTTGCTAAATTGCTTGGGCTGGTCTCTAACTTTCAGTCCTCCTGCCTCAGCCTCCCAAAATGCTGGGATTACAGGTGTACAACACCACTGATCCTAATAATTACAACATTTTTTAATGAAATAAATTGATGTCCTAGCAACTATGGAGGTGAACAGGGTTGTTTTATTTGAACTCTTAACTTTCTATATAATTGTGTCTCATTCTGTTATAGTTATTCTCTTTGATGGCTAGATTGTTCCATCTCTGAGCAGGAAAACCTTCAAAATGATTACTGCATCCTTTTGGATGCATTTCTTTGCTGTCTGACACAATAGGATATCTTCTGTTAATCTTGCATTTTTCTGCCTAGACTTGTTGGAACCACTATTTCTCCAGGAGCCCTGTCTTTTTTCAAATATCTTCTTTAAGCATTATGTTTGCTTCTTCACAGTTTTATATTTGTATTTTTTTGGGAAAGCACTTATCAGTCTTATTAGAATTTCTTTACATGTCTAGTAGAGTTGGCTCTTCAGCACATCAGTAATTTTACTATAATACAAAACCTGAAGTATTTTAGTTGTAAATCTTATAAGATCAACCACCAAACTGCAATTAAATAACTCTTCATGTCAGATGTATTAGATGTGAAATGTATATTGGCATTCTAGCATAGTGCCTGTTCTTCTGTTTTGACTGAGACTCATACTAAGAAATATTTTATGACATGACTGAATGCACAGCTACATAAGTAGGTAGATCACATGCGGCAATGCTTAATCCTTACTATAATAATATAATTATTAGACTTTTTTAAATTATAATTTTCAGTTTTTAAAAAATATTTGTGAATCATTAAATTGATTTTGTGATCCATGAATGGGTTCCAATCCACAGTCTGAAAGTCATTCATAGAAGATATAAGTCTTCTCAATAAAAATGTCATTTAAAAGGGGGGCAGAAAACCTTTCATTTTCTTCCTTGAGATCTAAGACTATCTTAAAAACTATTTTACAGTAAGATTCTACCAAGGATTTGTAGGAATGTGCTTTAATTCAATCACAAGATAGTGAGACTATTTCTTTTTAATGCTTAGGTAATTTTTTCCAGGTTGAAACATAGGTTTTAGAACTAAGAGACACCTTAGAAATAATTTCCTAGTTGAATAGTTTCAAAATTTTTTAAAGAGCAAAACTTCTTTATGACATAGCAGGACCAGTATTACCTCTTATCCAACAACAGTGTAACTTGGACACAGGACATTTCTCCTGGGCCTCAGTTTTTCTCAAATGAAAGATAAAGATGCTTGGATACAACCATTTCTTTGTAGAAATCTCCTTAGAGAAGTTTCTAGAGTTTCATTTCCACTAATGCATGTAACGACAATGAATGAAGTTGTCAAACAGTTTAAAACTTTGTTGTCTGGCAGTGAATACTTAATATTTTATTCCATCATTTATTACTGGTCTTTTTTTTCTTTTTCTGGTACGTGAGTTGAACTCAGGACCTTGCACTGCTAGGCAGTTGTGGCACCACTGAGCTAAATCCCCGGCCCTCCAACATTTATTACCTGTGTGACCCAGACAGATTAATTTACTTTCTGGGGCCTTTTTGAGGTTCAATAAGGTAATGTATGGATTTGTTATAAAGTAAACATTTAATAAATGTAGATCTTACCATTATTGTTATTATTTCTACTGTTCTCAGACCAATGCTTTTTCTAAGTCATTTCTTAAACCTGTGCTGACGCATTGCAGTTTATACACTTGTCACAGGGTTATAAAATGTTGACTTTTTTTTCATTTAAAATCATACTTATAATGTCACGTAGAAGATAATCTAAATTATGTAACAACCTGTATTGTTGAGGCCTAGATGTATTTTTTTAGAATAACATTATTATGTATGAAAGTCTTTTCAGTAGGGATGGCATTTTTTTTAGGTTTTCATTCCCCTATTTAGATTCATCATTCTACTTGATGAATCCCCAAATACAAATGCCAGTTTTCTTTATGGACATTTCCTATGAAACTTGCATGCTATTTGCTTAATTTACATCATCAAAGTTGGACGAAAGATATGGTAATACCTTTTATATAATTTCACCAAATTATGTTCTCGGATAACCAGCTTTCTGTTCTTCCTGGTTTGTATGTAGAGTATACTGGGTTGCAGTCATAGTTCAGGTCCACTTTACCTGAAACTTTCTTAACTATCCACTTCAGCACCATGGTAGGAATTTGAGAATTATATTAGTAATCAGAATGCATAAGCAATTAATTTTATTTCTTTAATGTTGATCTAATTCAATAATTAAGGCTTCTGCTACAGATTTTAGTCTTTAACCAAAATGGGTATACATAAAACAATATATATCTGCCCTAGTAATGTGACTATGACATGGAACCAAATATAGCTGTTTTTCCTGACGAGTACATTTTTTTCAGGCTACTATTTAAGTGGTTACTCATTTTTTAATACCATTTTTATACTGTACCCCCAGGCAGCAAAATGTTTTAACAATTGTCCTATTTGATAGAAAAAATGTGGCTTGATTAAAGTTTTGGGAACTCAACGTTAGGGTTGGCTGAAAGGAATGACTGTAATGTTTTGCAAAGAAAATGTTATCCTGACAAAAATGTTTTAGAAGTGAAGTCATTGTTGGTTTTGGTAGCAATGATACTGTGATTAGTAATGGTTTAAAAAATGAAGTAACTTGAAGTATCATCATAAAGTATTGTTGGATCTGAAGGAAAATAGTGAACATTTTTGGTAATTTTTTTGTACACTTCCTGATGTGATAATTTATTCATTTTATTTGTAGACTTTAGCTTACTGAAATTCCTTTAGTGAAATTTTCCCAGAGCCTCTAATAGCTGATTTAACTATTTTATGCTCCTTGATAGCTGTTTGGTACATTAGTCTTAATTGTATGAACATTTATCTTTTAAAAAATGATTTTGTGAAAACTGGTAAAATTGAGTGTGATTTTTTGACAAAATGATGTATTAAATTTTTAAAAACCAAGCCATGTAGTACATTTTAAGTTTGATGGAAGTTATAAAACAAGTGTCCTAACATTTATCTGGAATAAATGGATTATTTATGTTGCTAAAGATTTAGTGGTGGGAATGATAATGTATTTTTAAAATATAACTAAGGAATTGGTCAACTTCTGCATATAATTAATTTGTTCATTTGATTATTTTAATTATCTTTGAAATGATTTTTCATAAGTCATGGTTGTTGCACTCAAAATTCTTACAGTATTTTAAAAACACAGTCACTATGTGTTTGTTTTAGTTGAAAAGGTACCTTAACTTACAAATCTTTTTTTATAACGCTTAAAGATAGTATGGCATAGTGGGACCCTGTTGTTAGCTGTAGGCAAGCCAGTTACATTCTCTGCACTTCATTTTCTTCATCTGAAAATGTGGACCAGAATATCTGCCCTGCCTACCTTAAGGAGTTGTTTTGAACCTAAAAAAAGATATTGCTTGTCAAAGTACATTAAACTGCCCATATATTAATTAGCATTAATAGTAGAATTAATACTTTTGCATATAATTGATTCTTAGTTGAGGTTTTCATTTTACTACCACTTAACTTTATTAATACTTCATTAGAAAAGTGATGTAAATTTAAGATATAGAATCTAAAAGAGAAAAGTAGCTATTCATAGTTCAAGGACTCTTCACCAAATACTTTTATAATTTTGAGCTAATATTTTCTGTCTGAGTTTTTAAATACCTAACCCTAGGAGATATTTAGATATTCCTAATTATACTGTTCACTCAGCTTTTCTCAGAAGTTATTGCAGAGACTTTAAATGGCCATATCATCTATTACTTAGTTATATCCTAATTTAACCATTTGTAGACAAAGTCATCAATATCTTTTTTTGTATTGTTATTTTCAGATGTGTCATGCAGGAGAAATGGTTAATGTGTTACGTGTTTAAGGTAGTTAGTAAAAATCATCTGTTAAGACAGTATAATTTAGACATGTTATTTAGTCATTACATAATTTTGGCTTACTCTGATGCTACCTCTCCATTGTTCACATATGCAGAATTAATAGCATAGTTTTTTCTTGTGTATATTAATAGCAGTATTTTTTTCCCATATATATTGAAATGACTCTTCCTAAAAGGAAGACTACTCAAATGTTTTTGGTCATCAGGGAGAATAAATTACAATGTCACTCCTAAAAAAAACAAAACTAAAGTTTCTCTTTTTTCATTCTCTTCTTTCTTGCCCACTATTTCAAATATTTTTCTTGCTAGTCTTGGCATACATATAGACAGCCTATCTAATACCCTGACTTCTTCATTTCATGTCCTTGTCTCCACTGATGTTGTTCTCTCATCCATCTACCTTGTGATTGTTCCCTTAGTCTTGTCATTAATAATTATTGTGTACCTTCCAAAATCTTTATAGTAGATATCCTAGTCTCTTCACCACCTCCTACATTTCTTGGTTCTTCCTCCAGTACTCCTGCTCCAGCTTAGCTTAGACTATAATGTACAATTTTATTCTTTCCTAACACCTCTTCCTTTTTCAGTCTTCCTTTTATAGCACCTTTTGCATATGCACTACCAAGAAACATGAGAAGTCTGGAGAAAAACAGTCATTTTACTGTTTCACTTGAGATGCAAGTCACTAACCTTAAGGGGGCCTCAGTATGACTGAGCAATTCAGCTAGGTTTCCATAACCTTCCACTTTACCTCTTTTTAAGGTATTTCACATAATTTTCTCTTTTCTAACCTCTGATAATCCCTCCTGCAGGCCTCATTCATAGGCAATGACTTTCTATTACTGATACTCTTGAAGTAATCAGAAAAGAATTTTAATCTCCTTCATCACCAAATCCACCAGTCTACCAGCATCTCCATCTGTGTTTGGTGTTTCCTTCCTTGTAAATTGCCTTTGCATCTGGGTCCCATCTACTTGTGCATCAGTTCTCATCCTCTTACTCAGAGGTAGGCTTCTGAATATTTCCCCCTCTCTTCTGCATCATCAGCTTTTCTTCTTCTGGATCATTCCCACAAAACATATAAACATGCTGAAATATTTTCCTCTTCATAAAGCTTTCCTTTACAGAAAAATAGTTTCTTATATTCCTGTCTACACTTCCTTTCCTTCCATTCTTTCTTGGACTATTTCAGTTGACTTTCATCATGTTACCTCTTTCCCATTCTACAGAAACTACTCTTGTCAAAGTCAACAGGAGTGTACATTTTAACACATCTTGTTGGTTATTGACATTCTTTTTTTTTTAATGTTTTAGATTAACACAATTGATCACTCTCCATGAAACAGCTTTTTTACTTGTCTTCTGGGATACCATTTTCTTAGTTTTTTTCTTCTACCTTCGTGATGGTTCTTCGTGTATCTCCTTTAATCATTGCCCTTAAATGATGGAGTACTTGACCAGTGGACTTTACTTAATTTTCTTTCATTAAATTTCATTTTTATACCCAAATTTATATCCCCAATATCTACTCCTCTCCTATCTCAGGTTCATATGCCCAGCTACATTACTCAGTAATGCGTCTTAATATCTAAAAATATCAAGCTTACAGTGGACCCTTGAGTTAGGACTGGACTGACATGTGAACAACTTGAGTTATGACTAGGATTTTAGTTTTAACTTATGAACAGAGTCTTGAGTTATGTCCTGAATGCCGACCACTTGTGCTTCCAGGTGGTTTCAGATACAGAGTTCTGGAAGGAACATTACAACATTATTTCCTGTATGGGGAAATCCTGGACCAGTGTCTCTCTGAGGACACTGAGATTTGCCAGTGTACAGGAGAGAAACTTTGAAGGCTGTTTAGAGGAGCCTGAGCCTTCAATTGACCAAAACCAGCTCTTGTAAATGAATTGAGTTCATAAGTCATGAGTCTATTGTACTTGCCTAAAACTAATTATTGCTTCCCATATATATTCCTCTCTCAATTTATCTCATTTCAATTAGTAACAATTCCAATTTTTCTGGTTGTTTAGAGCAAAAGACTTGAAGATATCTTTGAAGATGTCCTTGACTGTCATTTCTTTCATATCTAGTATTTACACTGAGCTGATTTTTTTTTTTTTTTTTGAGACAGGGTCTTGCTATGCAGTTCAGGCTGGCTTTGAGTGAAATAACACTCTCCTATCACCTTTATCCCATTACCATGGTAGATACAGCCTCATAGACCTTTTATACTGTGTTTGCTTTTTCTCACTTCTAAGAAGACCCCTGACCTCCATTTTGTTTATTGTTGTAGCCTAAGCGCCCAACAATACCTGGCAAATGCAGGCAGTTCTACTTACTGTCAATAATCTTTCCCTGAAAAGTAACACACTTGGCACTCAAATGCTAGTAGGGAATCTATTTCCCATTATCTTATGTAGGAAAAATTACAATGTTTTTATCAATTTAAAACACTTTTTCTAAAATGTAGTTCTGTAAGACCATATATATACATACATATAATGACAAATTAACATTTTGGGTAATGCTTAACATATTGGACCTTGATAACTATAGAGCTAGTAGTACTAATTGGCAGTTTCAGATGTAGTAATATTAGCTCTTTCATTGTAATTACTGATCCTAGTTACTTTGATTCTTTCTCTATTTTCCTTTAATAATTCTGCAACTTAATGTACCAGTTCCCCAAAGCTAATGTAACAGTTACGTATTGTATACATGCACTAGTAAAAAATATATAAAAACAATAATTCCTTAACTTTTGGGGAACTGATTGTGTACACATTAGGCAAAAATGAAAGGTAATTATGAAAGGCTCTGTGGAAATGTTCAGGGTAAGTTACTAAAAACAGAGAATAGCCCACACTAAGTATGAGGCTAGCTCCTCTCTTGGATCTGTCCACAGTGGTGATTTGTTTATACTTAGTGAATTTTTCCAAAAGTCTATAATATTTATGTGTGACTTTATACCAGTTGTTCAGAAGGTAACTTGAAATTTTACTCATGCGTTGTTAAAATGTAAGGTTGAGATTTGGAGATAGAAATATAACTTTCTTTATGTAAACGTTGTGTATTGAAAGATATCCCTGACCTGTAATGATTGTACACCAAAAACCAAGAGACATTCTCCAAGGGAGTAACATTCTATGGGGCATGACTTTATTGAACACATTGTATGCACACATTGCATACGCACATTGCATACTTTCTAAATGGATGCATTGTTTTTGTTATAAAGATTTTATTAGGCTAAGCATGGTGTTATATGCCTGTAATCCTACTTAGGAAGCTGAGGCAAGTTCAAGACAACCAGGCTACTTAGCTAGCAAGACTCTGTCTCAACATTTAAAAGTTAGAAAGGGCTGCAGATGTAGCTTAATGGTATAGTGCTTGCCCAGCATGTACATGACCCTGGGCTCAATCCCCATTACTGGGAAAAAAGAACCAATAAAACATTAATAAGAGACAAAAAAAAGTTTATAAAACATATTACCCAGTATAATTAATAAAAATTCCTAGCCAGGTGTGGTGATGCACACCTGTAATCCCAGCACTTAGGAGGCTGAGGCAGGAGGATTGCCACAAGTTCAAGGCCAGGCGGGGCTATACCTTGAGTTCAAGACCAGCCTGCACTGCAAAGCAAGAACCTGTGTCAAAAAACAAAACAACCTACCCAAAAAGAAAAAAAACAACAAATTCCCATCAATCTCTTCTCCCAAGTTTATCTATATCTATCTTTAACATTCTCTTTGATGCTTTGAGGTTTTACTGTTTTAGAAAATAAATAATAAAACTGAAAATCATGGAATAAAATTAAGATTACTAGCACAAAAAATACAGTTGTTACTGAGCAAAAATACACTTTTTATCACCACAGGGTGCCAGGATGTGAAATTTATCACCAGAATATCCAGGTTTTTGAAGCGTGCTCCTTAGACACCTCCTTTGGGTTTCCTTTTTTTTTTTGGTACCAAGGGTCGAACTCTGGACCTTGCGCTTGTGAGGCAGGTGCAAACCACTCAGCTAAATCCCCAGCCCTCCCTTGGGTTTCCTACAAATCATATTTTGCACCACTATTAGTGAGGAAGAAATATATATTTATATACATATATCATATGTATGTTTTGAAATTTTGTTTATTCATTCATCTCTGGATAGACATTTTGGTTTTTTCTGCCTTTGGTTATTGGGAATACACTGCTGTGAACATGAGGCCACATATTTATTCTAGTCCTTGCTTTCAGTTCTTTTGGTTATATATGAAGGAACATATTGTAATTTTATTTTTAATTTTTTGAGGAACCACCATACTGTTCTTCATAGCAGCTGCACTGTTTTACATCCCTATTAGTAATGTACAGAGGCTCCAATTTCTCCACGTTCCTATTTTCTGGTTGTTGTTTGCTTGTTTAGGGGTTTTAGGTTTTTTTCTTTTTACTATTAGCCGTCATGATGGTGGGAGGTGATGTCTCATTGTGCTTTGATTTGCATTTAAAATGTTGAGCATGTTTTTATTGGTCTTTTATATATTTTTGGAGAAATGTCTGATCATGTCCTTTGCCCAGTTTTTAACCAGGTTGTTTATTTTGTTCTTAAATATTTAAATGTTTTATGTAATAGAGAGCATACAAAAATACTTAGCATATGTCTTCTTTCTCACTATTAGTGGTGCAAAGTACCATTTGCTAGCTCATACTACCCTAACCTTGGAAAGTGCTGAGGATAGCTTCAAGACTCATAATCTGTTTATTAATGGAAATGGTAAGTACATTATATATCTTACTTATTACATATATTATGTCAGTATATATGTATCATGGTAACAGTAACTTTCTAATTTTAACATGTTGCTTTGAAGTAGATAGCTGAAGTAATATAGAAATGAATGTTTCCCTGGGTTCCTTCAAATATATTTTTCCCCAAAGAAAGAAAGTCTATTTTCCTTTGTGCTAAGATTTGTTTATAAGTCTAACTTATGGAGATAGAAAGGTTTTGAGTATTTTTGAGTCCTTATCTTTGACCTGAAATTAACTTCACCAGTCCTTTAATTGGAAATCAAAGACTGGTCTCATTTTTAAATGTGAAATCAAGGAAGCCAATTCTTCTGTGGGCAGGAGGCAGATGATATAAGGGAAGGTAGGACTTAATCTTAACACTTTTCTCTCTGAATAATTGTAAATGCAGTTTTTCCAAAAGAATGTATAACTGGGCTGGGGATTTAGCTCAGTGATGTTGCTGCCTGCTGTGCAAGTGCAGGGACCCAAGTTCAATCCCTGATACCAAAAAAAAAAAAAAAGGATAACAAAGTGGGCAAAGAGGTTGGATGATTAAGCCTTGTAAACCTTGATATGAGGACTTTGCCTGATTAGTTTATCTGCGATGAAAAATATCAAGTAATGTTGATAAAGCAGTTTGGAAATGTGATTTACATTAAGTATTCTTATTTATTTTCTAAAGAGAAATATATAGTACATATACCATTTTATACTTATTGTTGTAAATATTGGTTGCTCTGTGCTAGTGGGATTAGTGACTTTACAATAATATTTTTTAAGTTCATAATAAATCACATTAAAAATAGTGAAACATTTATGAAATGTAAATGCACAGCTTAAATAATTATGCAGTGAATATCTGCATAACCACCTCCCTGTCAAGTAATGGAACATTGCCAATGCCATTTTCTTTTAATTATTTGCAAGCTTTTATATTTGCTTTTATTTATGGTTTTGCCACCTGTGTGTTCTTCCCTAAATAATATAATTTAGTTTTGCTTGGTTTGGACTTTATATAGATGAATCATATCATATTATACCTTCCTAGTGATTTGATTTTTGTTCATCATTCAGTATATATGTATTTTATTGCTTATAGTATTTCATTGTATGATTATATCACTATTTCTCTTACACTTATTCAGTTATTTTTGGTAGTTGCTGGGTTCTTCAGCTTTCCTATTTCTTGGTTTAGTTTCAGTAAGTTATATTTTCATAGGTATATTTCCATTTGATGTAAGTTTGAAGTTTATAAGCCTTAGATTCTCTGTTATATCTTTGTGTCTATTTAATTTCTACAGTATCTGTAGCACTATCTCTCCTTTCCTGATACTGGCTTTTTGTACCTTTGTTTCTTTGCTTGTAATTCTCATTCTTTTTTTATTATTATTATTCATTAAGTTTATTGGTACATTTTAGGTATACATTTTGACCACATTCATCATTGGGAATTTGTACCTGTACACGATATATCTTGGTTCTTGTTTTTTCCCATTATTCTCATTCTTTTAATAGGTGTGTCAATTTTATTATTTACTAGTGTGATCTATGGATGCTAATTATTTATTAGTGATGATTATAGTGTTTGCATTCTCCATTACTGCAAGAAGTGTGATAAAATCTCCTGTTACGGTAGTGAACTTTTCTACTCTTGTTACATCTGTTTTCACTTTATATAATTTAAGCCTTTTCTATTTGATATACAATTCTTTTTTGTTTTGAGACAAGGTCTCTCTGTGTAGCTCAGTCAGGCCTTGAACTCACTATGTAGCCCAGGCTGGCCTTGTATTCAAGGCCATCCTCCTGCCTCAGCCTCCCAAGTGCTGGGATTACAGGATGTGCCCTACACCTGGCTGATGTACACAATTTTTAAATTGTATGTATTTGTCTGTTCTTTAACTGAAACTATCTTTTTTGGATTATAGACCTGCCTCTTCAGACAACATTAGACTGGATTTTAATTTTTATCAAATTTGAAAATTGTGCCTCTTTCACTGGAGCTTTTAATCCTTCTGTATTTAATATCATATATCTATATGTTTGGGTTTTTATCTACCATGATTACCTGTGTTATCGCTACCTGTGTTGTATCTACTGTGATTTCTTATATCAGGGGTATCTTTTTTGGTGGAATTTTTTCCCTCCTTTTTAAGGATTCATTACTTTTAGCATTTCATTGTTTCCCTGTCCTAATTAAAGTTATCCATTCTTTTTATCTTCTTCTAGAAATTATCTCTAATAATTCCATTCATCATACTAAACTCTAAAATTCAAAGATAATATTTTCCCCTTTTTGCAGACAATGCCAGGACCTTAAGAACCATTAAACTATTTCACTAATCTATGGGTTCTTGTTGTATAATACTATTCACTTCTACATAGTAATTTATACATTTAATATTTATTTAGAAAATAAGGTAATTTATACATTTAATATTCAGAAGATAATTTATACATTTAATACTTAGATTTACCTATGTTTCTATATACTACTTATATCTTATACCTTGCATTTGGAATCATTTTCCTTCTTACAGTATGATTAGATTACATTAGATTATACTTTTTTTTTTTTTGGTACTGGGGATTGAACTCAGGACCTTGCACTTGCCAGGCAGGTGTGGTGCCACTGAGCTAAATTCCCAGTCCCTAGATTATACTTTTAATAAGATCTTTTAGTATCAAACATCTTTGGTTCTTTTTATCTGAAAATGATTTTATTTTGCTATATTTTTTGAAGCATAGAGAAGTTTTACTTTTGAGTATTAAAGGCAGAGTTCCAGTATTTTCTTATTGATTGTTGAAAAGAATTTGTCAGTGTGTCTCCTCTGTGAAGGTAATCTTTTCTTTTCTCTTTGCCTTTGCTTTTCTGACATTTCATTGTAACATAATGAAGTGTAAAATTTATTTATGTACTTGAGATTCCTTGAGTTTCTTTAAATTGGTAATTAATGTGTTTTGTCAGTTTGGACAAAATCTCACTCATCTATTCAAAGAGCCCCTGCTTCATTCTCTTTTTTGTCTTTCTCTACCCTTCATGCCTTTTAAACCTGTGTTTGTTTTTCCTCATTGTGTCCCCAGGGTTCTAACCTTTTATAACTACTTTCCATCTCTTTGTCTCTTTGGTGCTCCTCTGGATATTTTTGACTTGGCTTTTTTCATTTTCCTTATTTTCTCTGCAGCTGTGTCTGATCTACTACTAAATCTGCCCACCAGGGTCTTTGTTTCTAGTTCTATATGACTTTTTATGTCTGCTGTTACTGTCTATACCCTGCATACATTGTTAATATTTCACATTTTTAATTAAAGAGTAAGAGTGTAGTTATTTTATTGTCAGTGTCTAACAGTTTAGACATCTAAAGTTTTTCTAGTTTTTTAACTAGTTTTCACTGAGGTCTTGAGTCCTTCTTACATATCTGATTACTTTGTGTGCTTATCATTGTAATTGAAATTTTACAACTAGAGCTAAATTGGTGTTTCTTAGGCCAGCCTGAGTGTCTCTGGGCAGCTCTGAACACTCGGGCAGCAGAAATCTGAGCACAGGGTTGATTTACTTCTAGTTCACCACTAGCTTGTTGGTTATTCCTTTGGGATAACAGTTTATTATAAGGAGAATCTCCAGTTAAACTACTTACATTGTACCAACACTGGGATTTAATTTTTCTTCTGCTGCCAATCCTGTGGGATCATTAAATCCTAAAATCAGATTTGCTGTGATTGGTAAATATACTGAGAACAAACACAGTTTCTATGCTCACTTTCCTTTCCTTTTTTTTTTTTT